CAGCTTAGTTCTTTCCAATTAGTAAATTTAAAATTAACCTGAAAGGTAATTAAAAGAGACATGTGTTCAATTTTTAAGACCTTTTAACTAGTTTTATCAAGAGTGCAAAATAGTTTTAGAGAATTTTTATTTTGATCTTAAAAGATAAATCTAAATTGTCACTTATCTTCAAAGCCTGTGCATGTGTGTGTGTGTGTTTTGGAAACTCCCTATCCCCATCCTACTCAGAATCTGTGTAGCTGTTTTTCAATTTTTTTTTTTTATGTTTTATTTATTTCCAGGAGAGAGAGAGAGAGTGTGTGTATGGGAGGGTTAGAGAGAGAGGGAGTCACAGACTGAAACAGGCTCCAGGCTCTGAGCTGGCAGTCAGCACAGAGCCCGACGCGGGGCTCGAACCCACGAACCGCGAGATCATGACCTAAGCGAAAGTCGGACGCTTAACCGACTAAGCTACCTAGGCGCCCCGTGTAGCTGTTTTTCATAAACTTGACAATGTAAAAGAAAATCCACTGCTTCTCTTATCTCATGAAGAATACAATATAACCTTAAAACAATGTGGATAGATAATCAACAAAAAAAATCTTTGTGCACTCAAAGTGTGTGTGTGTGCATGTGCATGTTGTGTATTTCACTTCAAAATAGTCTCATTAGGAAAATGTTCTGTCCAATGGGAATACCACTGTTGAAAATAAAATGCTGTTTAGGTCCTTTAAGGAAAGACTCTAGCTTTTTATCTTTTTTAAAAAATTATTGGTACCTCATCCTGAAAATGCAAAATTTGCATTTGAGAGAGGGCAATGCTAAAAAGAAACAAATATGGTGGAATGTCTGGTGGAATTCCAGACATTGAGGAATGGATGTAGAAGATGCTTAGCAGATGGGGGTTGGGCTATACCTAGGGGTCTTCACACAGTACTTTGAAGGAATTTGCTGCCTTTTTGATATATTTTAATGTCTTCCATATTGTAAAAACTGTAATTGAGGTTGTGAATTGTTATTATTTTTTAATGCTGAAGATTTTATGGCGAGAGAGTCATAAATTAAGTTGTTTATTCTGTTTGGCTCAAAAAGTGGGGTAGGGCTATATACTGATGAGACCAGATTTCTTGTGTAGTACTAAATTAATTTTGAAGTCATACTTTATGATCTATAATTCATCAATACTCTAGAATACTCCTGCCTTTAAAGGTCATAATCTCCCTGGAATTCACCTAGAAGAACACCAGGACTGTAATTTTGTTCTTTGGCTAGATTATTGGTGTGTGCAAGGGCAACAAACGTCTCTCTCTCTTTCTTAAAACATGAAGTGCAGTAAAAAAAAAAAAAAAATGGGGTGGGGTTGCCTGGGTGGCTCAGTCGGTTAAGCGTCTGACTTCAGCTCAGGTCATGATCTCACCATTCAGAGTTCGAGCCCCACTTCAGGCTCTGTGCCGACAGTTCAGAGCCTGGAGCCCATTTTGGATTCTGTGTCTCCCTCTCTCTCTCTGCCCCTCTCCGGCTTACGTTCTGTCTCTCTCTCCCCCAAAAATAAACATTTTTTAAAAATTAAATAAAAAAGTGGGGTGGGGGAGGCACCTAATTTGGAAGATGAGTCTGAATTCAAATACTTGTTTCTCCATTTATCTGTTTTTATCTTAATATCTTTAAATCTGCATTCACCCATGTATAAATGCATATAATAAGAGCAAGCTTACAAGGTTGCTAAAAACCTAAAAATACGCGCATGTAAATATCTACATGTGGTAGACATTTGAATTAATCACTTTGGTTAAATTATATTCAGTGTCTAGTGAACATAATATTAAACTAATGTATGGACTAGTGTTAATTGAATTTGAAGCAATTGTTCACGGTAATTCAGAGAATCACCTTAATATGTGGATTTTTAAGTGAATAATAAATTTTTAAAATTCTGTCTATTGAAAATAGACGCGAATAAAAAAGAAAACTAATGAAATAATCTCCTAGTCTATTGCTCTCTCTCTCTCTCTCTCTCTCCCCTCTCTCTCTCTGAAGCTCTGTTATTCTTCACCTGTCTCCATACACACACACACACACACACACACACACACACCTGGTATATGAGAAGAATTCATTTTACTTAAGCAACTTTTATCTACATGTAAATAAAATGTTGATATAAAGTTCTCATTCTTCTCAGCTTTCTCTCAGAAAGAGAAATTTAACTAATGTAACTCCTAACATTTCTTTTGATGTGTATCATGAATTCTTCTTATTCTCATTTCTTATGACCAAACATGAAAATAAATACATAAAACACATGCACAAAATAAAATCCAAAGCTGAAAATAAATGGTTTATTTTTAAAAGAAACAAATTTACAAATCAAATGGAAAATGGAAAATACAAAAGCTTATGAATAAAATAAAAAAGATAATAAGACAATCTTAAAACATTAAAACCTATGGAAAGAAGTGGATGATTAGCAAGTGGAATAATGCTTTTGTTTCCCAATACAATGGAGTGCTTGTTTATTAGAATCCTAGGGAATCATCTAAGTTACAATACAGAAGATAATGAAATCAATTTTGTATGATTGTGTAATTAGACATTTTATATGTCATGGTTCTTTGTTAACTCGGGTGCAGAAGATCTTTGTATCATATATCTAAAAGCATTAAAATGTGGTTTTTTTTTTTTTTTTTTACCATTAAGGTTTTTTTAAACAGTAGAGACAAAAATTGTATTTCCTCATCTCTCTCAAAAATTTTGTACTGGCCATCTTCAGGGACATAAAACAAACAAGAAAACCATAAAACACAATTTTTTGAGAATGAGACATATCATTTAGATTTGAGATGCTTTTGATTTAGCACTTGGAAATGTTCAATATCAAAAGCCAGTCTATAAATAAGAAAAAGAATATCAAGACGTTTCTAGGGATACCCAAAAGCACTTGGAATAAATACTGAATCCGAAAGTGCAGAAAGAATGCAGTTTTGGCAAGAGAATGGCCACCTGTGAGGGGACTGTCTTCCATTACCCAAAACTCATGCAATTGATACTCAAGCCTTTTCTAGTGTCAGCTTTCCCCTGCTTTTCTGGATGAAGGGTTAACAGGAGGGGTAATTGTGGTTTGTAACAAGGAAAAGCATTAATACGCAAAAAATATCCAAGAATGACTCTATACCATAGTTTTATCGTCAAGAATTCATGAAGCTTTTCTTTTCTTCAATTTAAAATAATACCTTCACTGTAGAGAAATGATTTATTATGGACTTTAGCACTGCAGAAGGGCACTTAAACATAGGATATGGTTTTAGAATTGGTTATCAACGTTCATAACGTTGGTATAAGGGTTCCCTTAAATTATGAATTATGGTGTTTCATGGGATACTCATGCTCTTCTATAGGTACTTTATTTTTCTTTTCTCTATTACCCAACAGTCCAAATAGAGATTTATCTCCGCAGTAGTTGAATGCTGAGATTACCATAGCTTAGTCTCAAAGTGTGTTGTATGTGCCTATGACAAAGTAGATGATCAATTCATTCCAGTGGAATGGCCACTGCCTAGCGGTGAGCATAGACTCCACTGCACCCATACCAAATACAGCAGCAGGAAGTTATTTACACTAATTTAGGAAAGGCAAGAACAAACAACTACTACTCTGTGGGCTATGAATTTACAAGTGATGTACAGAAAACACTGACACAAAAGCACTACAATAGAAACATAATTTAAAAACTGGACAAGAGTGTCAATAGCTATTTAAAGTCACATGCCTGTGTACACATGTGTGTGCGCATATATATACACATACACATACATACGTATACACACATATATACATGCATATATACACACATATACACATACATATATACACATATATAATTCATGTGTATATGTATATATACAATGTAGATATACATACATTTATAACTCATGTTTTTGTGCATATATGTATATATGTGTATGTGTGCATATATATATATTTACCACTCTGTAAACTCTGGACTTAGTTTTCACTTTTCCAAGTCCCAATAACAGTACAATTTCATTTAAAACAAAGTAAAGCAAGTTTCACGGAAGAGACTGACTTGTTTAGCGTGAATGTATTAACTGTACTAGTGAATAAAATATAGAAAGTACTGAGTGGTCCAGTTAATTCTCTTAGAATATTAATGCTAAAAGCAACTCTCAAGGTCACGGAGTCTAACTTCCACATTTTACAATGGGGAGACAGAAGCGAGTGAGGAGAAATCACTTTCCTAATATTCACATTAGCAAGGCTGAGATTAAAAGACAAATTGTTGAACACCCTGTTCTGTGCTTTTCTCACAAGCCAGAAAATGCCCTAAAAGCATTTTGCTGTTATTTCACTCTCTATTAGCACCATTAGTAGAAGCTTCCTGTCAGACTGAACCAAGGGTGGGACTGCTTGCAAACTGTAAATAGTTGGCTCAAGGCACCGTAGACACGGGCGGTGGAGAAATATGGGTCGACCTACAGATATCCAGGAGTTTACTGAAATTCTAAAAATATGGTATATTTCTCAAGTTGACAAACATGACATCAATGACCTGAGATGGAGGGCACAAGAGATGTCGTAGAAAAGGCAGGCGAGCCCTTTAAAACCATCGTAAGGAACACTTTCAGTGACAGAGTTCTGTGTAATCCTAAGCGGGGTCAGTCTGGCTTTGAGGGTGTGCTGCACAGCTTGATGAGCCCAAGAGCTCAGTGTCCTCAGCTAAAATAAACGTGGGCATTGATTATCTTTTTAACTGGCGAGTAAACCTAAAAAGAAAAGTACTTGGCAACTCACAACGACCTTGTTAACAGATGAGTTATCTTTAAGGGGTCTTGGACTCCACAGCAAAAGGCTGCTCCACAACGTTAAGGTTATAAAACGTAAGAGAGGAAGAGGGGATGGAGATTGGAAACAGGGACAGAGGATGCAGAGAAATTCGCATCAACCAAGTCTTTGCCTGCAAAGAACACAGTGCCATCAGATACTGGTGACAGACTGGCTAGTATTGCCTGAGGAAGCACCGCAACCAGTCATACGGTCACCCTGAATTTATCCCTCCGGGGAGGCTTGGACAGAATTGTGTTCTGTCTGTGAAACGATACGTTGGGAACAAAGAAAGGGGACCCTTCCTTCCTGGAGGGCCCTTGGTTCTCTTTGCCTCTTTCATGATTGTCCCTTTCATACATTTTTCAAGGATGCATAGGAGAGACCCTGCTCGCCACTTCTAGACCACCTGGAACTTTTCCTCACTGGCATGGCCACCTGCAGCTGCTTCCAGAACCTGCCTTGTGGATACTTGGATTTCTCCCCTTTCCATTTAATGACCGTGAGCACCGTCTTAGCCCTCTTCAGTTCTTTCACCTTCGTCTCCTTCACCGCTTTGTACTGCACTAAAATGACGTTGATGTTGCCCCGAGAGGCCATGTTTTCTAGGCCAGCCTTGAGCTCCAGCAGGGCTTGGGTTCCCTGGAGCACGTAGTTGGGGCTTAGGACAACCAGGAGGCGTCTGCTTTTCTGAATGAAGCTCAAGGTCTCATCTGTGACAACTGAGAAAGAAAACACCATGGGGATTAGTGTTGGCCAAGAACTCCCCCAAGGCCTGGGGCTTAGCGAGCAAGTGTAGGGAACTTAGGGTGACAGCCTGGGAATTGAGTTGAAACTTTTACCAAGAACATTTGCAACAACTTAATCCTCAGGTGCTCTCACTGTCCAATAAATGCCACACTTCTCCAAGGCACTGAAAACAATACACACACATTCCACCCCCAAAAGAATTCTAAACAGGTACGAAGCCAAGTATACTTCTGTGACCTTGGTCTTCAAAAGCTTTATGAGAAATAGATGAATTGTACAGAAATCGATTTCTTCAAACCATGTGGCACGCTGCAGCCCAGTCAAATCAGCTCCTGAGCCCTTTCTCCCCAACGATACCCATGTGTCTACTCCCTAATGTCAGTGGGTATTTAAAAAGATAATCCTCATAGAGTCAAAGTCATGGAAATTCATTTCTCACCAACACAGGAAAGCAAGAGTAGGAACATTCATTTTCTGAAAGTCCCTCCCTGTTGCCAGACTCCTACTTGACTCAGACTGGTCTATGTCCTTAGAATAGGAACTTTAAAAAGTCTAGCTAACTGAATGGCATTTTGGCTGGCATCACATTCTCGGCTCAGCCTTCTATTCTGCTCTCTGTTCTGGAGCCTAAATTAGTCCCTGGATCTTTCTCCTTAAACTCCTATCATTACTATGAAGCCATGTGTTTCAGTAGCTGCTAGCTAATGTGTCTGCCTTTCTAACAGGCAAATACTTTCCTTAGGTCAGAAAAGAAGGAAGAGAAACAGGGAAAATGGAAATTCGGCGTAATTTTATTCTGTTATCAAGGGCTCTGATTAGTTCCTGTCACCAAATTCTTGGGAATAATCCATCTCCTCAAGGTTGCTTATCTAGGATTGTATAATCCTTTACCTGGAGTTCAAAAAGGAGCCAACTCCAGGGAATACGTGAGGACTGTGGAAAGATATTTCAGGGCTTACAATCTAAGTAGTTATTTTGGCCCTTCACCTTCACAGGTACAGAGGCCAAAGGGAAAGACTTGCAATTATGATTCCCTGTGCAGTCTGGAGAAGAATTGAGGAATAAGTAATTATCTACTCCAAGCAGTGTTGCTGGAGGCAGACTGTGTGTAGGCATGGAAGGAGACTCAGAGGCAAAGAGCAAGAAAAGAAGCGTGGGGAGCAGATCACAAGGATCAACCCTCAAAGCAAGACACAAGAGTAATTATGTAGAACTTGAATTCTTCAAAGAATTATCAACCCCTACAGGAGGGTCATTGTGATACTGCATACTTTTATCTAACTTTTCACAAAGTGATAAATATTTGTTGAATGGCAGAATGAATTAATAAATGGCTGAATAAATGATTTAAGATGTTAAGTCTTAAAATGAATGGAATTTGTCCTTTAGCTGTTTTATCAAGTCATTGTTTACCAGCAAAATGATCCTGAGAGATTTATCAGCTATAGAACACAAGTATGATGGACTTCTAGGTGATGACAGGAGATAAAATACGTGGTCTGACTAATTCAAAATGAGCATAAACATTTAAGTCCATTTTATATCTCCATTATCCACATAACAGTTTCAAAAACATCTGAAATGGTTAACACAAGCAGGATTTTAGGGGAGGAAAATTAGTTTCTTCTGCTGAAGATTAGACACATTACATGCATTTCAACAGTACAAAGTTTAACGGTGGGTTAAGGAATGCTATTATGTATTTGTTAAAACAGACTCAAAAAGGCTCTCACTTTGTATGTTACTGGGTGAATCTGAAAAATTAGGGATGTACTTTTCCTTGAAAACATTCAGCAATTCAAGTTTCTTTTTTTTAACCCATTAGAGCATACTGGCTTTTGTAAAAATTTAAACTACATCTCAGATGGTTAAGCTGACAGAAAGGAAAAAACAGACCCAAGAAAAAGGGGAATATGAATAGCACTGGCTTGCTAGAAAACAAAAGGGAGGAAAAGGAAATTAGCAAATGACACAGGTAAACATTCTGATTATATGAGTGAGTACTTTACATAAAGAAAGATTCCATGCACTTTCTTCACAAACTCATTCTTAGTAAAATTAAGTAGACTTCAGCCTTTGTAAAAATGTTGTTTAAACTCAGTATTTTAAAAAAAAAAATTCTAGGGAAATTAATGCTAATTTGCTTAAACCTTCTACGTATCTAAATGTGTGTAAACATTTAAAACTGAGGCATTTGGAGCACCTAGGTGGCTCAGTCAGTTAAGCATCTGACTTCAGCTCAGGTCATAATCTTGTGGTTTGTGGATTCGAGCCCTGCATCGAGCCCTGGGCTGACAGCTCAGAGTCTGGAGCCTGCTTCGGATTCTGTTGTCTCCTCTCTCTGCCTCTTTCCAGCTCTCTCTCTCTCTCTCTCTCTCAAAAATAAACATTAGAAAATAAAATAAAATAACTGAGGCATTTAAAAAGTTCTAATCCACTGTGCCTCCACACTTTTCTGACACTGAGTTCTTAATACTTACAAGGGGGGCTAGAATACAACCATAAATGGCACTTGAATAATCTACAACTTATGATGTAATTTTATTCCTAAAGAACTCTCTGTCTATTACATCAACCAACTGGAATGTAAATATCCCAAGATGCCAACACAGAGCTCTGCCATGACTCCCACACCTGACCCTAAACTAAGGATTCCCTCTGCCATTCAGGGTGGCATCGCTTGTACTCATGTGAGATACCTACTTCCCCCAGGGAGACTGTCACGGTCAAAGATGCACAGCTTGTATCCAAATTCATTCTCCAAAACTCCACGGAGGGTCAGTAACACAAACTCTTCTTCCTCGGCATTCCTTGCGTAAGATACATAAATATCATATTCTTTCCCATCTGGCAAAAGGAAGAGAGATCCGATATAAATTAGAAGAGTTTCTCAATAGTATTGCATTTCTTTCTTAAATCAAACTTTTGCCTACTAGACAAGTTTGCTTTTTTTTTTTAACTGTATGAATTATCTGACAGATTTTTATGTGATTTCCTACCTGTGACAGGTCTCCAGGCAAAATGACTATTTTAAGGTGTAATTACAGATTTTGTCTGATGTGTCTACTACTCTCATATCACTAAGTTTAGTGTTTATAGTGGAGAATAAATGAAGGTTGGCTCATTTGACTATGAATTAACACAATCAGGATGCAAATAGTCAATCATAGGTGCTGGCAATGAATATACCATGCAGAAAATGTATAGTTCCTGTCCTAGTTTGTGACTCACTGATATATTAGAATTGTAAATGGAGCAGAACTTTCAGAAAGTGTCTAAATTATTTATACCTGAAAATAACTACAATTAAAAATATACTTTGGGATGGGGCGCCTGGGTGGCTTAGTCGGTTAAGCGTCCGACTTTTGCTTAGGTCATGATCTCGCGGATGGTGGGTTCGAGCCCCGCATCGGGCTCTGTGCTGACTGCCAGCTCGGAGCCTGGAGCCTGTTTCAGTCTGTGACTCCCTCTCTCTCTGACCCTCCCCTGTTCACACTGTCTCTCTCTCTCCTAGAAATAAATAAAACATTAAAAAAATATATATATATACTTTGGGGGCGCCTGGGTGGCTTAGTCGGTTAAGCGTCCGACTTTCACTTAGGTCATGATCTCACGGTTCGTGGGTTCGAGCCCCGCGTCGGGCTCTGTGCTGACAGCCAGCTCAGAGCCTGGAGCCTATTTCAGAGTCTGTATCTCCCTGTCTCTGATCCTCCCCTGCTCATGCTGTCTCTCTCTCTCTCTCTCTCCTAGAAATTAAAAAAAAAAAAAAATATATATATATATATATATATATATATATATATATATACTTTGATTTGGGGCACCTGGGTGGCTCAGTCGGTTAAGCATCTGACCCTCGATCTCGGCTCAGGTCATGATCTCATGGTTCGTGAGTTCAAGCCCGTCTGTCAGCATAGGGCCTGATTGGGATTCTCTCTCTCCCTCTCTCTGCCCTCTTTCCCCCCTCTCAAAAAATGGATAAACATTAAAAATGTATATAAGTATATATACTGAGATTCAATAAATCCATCTTTCCCAGAGTTGCCTCATTATAAAAATCACCTCTCAGGAATAATCCAGGTTCTGTGTCTCTTCCACAAACCTACTGAATGAAAATCTTATGGGACGAGTCTAAGAATCAGCATGTTTAATTGCCCCATTCTTGTGACCAGGCAAATGTGAACTAGTGCAGTGCTTCTAAAATTTTAACGTGCACCTGAACCATTTGGGAATATTGTTAGAATGTAGATCCTGACTCAGTAGAGGGGTTAGCTTAAGATTCTCCTTTTAATAAGCTCCCATGCGATGCTGGTGTTGCTGGTGCATGGACCACCTTCAAGTACAAAGAGTAGACCTGCACTGTCCAGTTACAGAAGCACAGCTACACGTAGCTATCGTATGCTTAAAATGCAGCTGGTCTGAAGTGAGATATGCTGTAAGTTGAAAATATAACACAGGCTAAATTTTGACATTTCGAATACCAAAAAATAAGACTAAAAGATCACCATCAGCTTTAAATATTAATTATATGCTAAAATAATAGTATTTTGAGTCTATTGGGTTAAATAAGATATATTATTAAAATAATCTTCCCTTTCTTTTTAATACTTTTCCTACTGTGACCACTAGAAAATATTAAATTACACATGTGGCTTGCATATGTTTCTCTTTAGACAGGCCCATCTAGACCAAACACATAGTGAGCCATTAAAGCAAAATAATCTACATTAGAAAGATTTTCAGTAGTAAGGGCCGCAACAGAAGTTAGTTAGATTAGATTTCCCAGCTAGTCTAGGTTTTATCAAGCCAATATGCTTTCTGAAAAGGACAGTAGAAGGTATTGACATCCAACTTCCATTACTCACCTAAAATGGTTTCATCTGTTCCAAAATGAGCCCGGTAAAATAAGACCATCTCCAGCCAGTAAACGTGGTAAACAACAATGAGAATCACTACCAGCAGGACGGTGGCTCCAAAACCACATGCCAATTCCACTGTGTATCTTGGAGCTGTCCATGGAGTGAACAACAAAGAAACAGTTGATTTTTACGTGGTGATCACAGTGATCTGTCATCCTGCAAATAGCCGGCTAAGCCAAGCGGCTGAGCTATGCTCCTGGCTTGTACGTGTGGACAGGCAGAGATAACATGATAGGGTTTAAGCACGGGGTTTTAGTGCCAGCCTGTGTCCTCTTCATCTTTTCGTTTCCAGTGCCTGACATAGGTGTTTTAACCAGTAGGTGGCTTGAAGAGACTTTGATGTTATATAAATTAATACATATTCATAGTATGTAAATGGTATATTGTATATGCATTTTAGCATCGGACAGGATCTCGAAGGTCATCTCATTCAGTGCACAATCTGCTCAACGAATCCCCTCAAAAATATTTTTGAAATCTTCCATTTGTCCATCTCTTGGGATGGAATCCTTACCACTACCTAGACAAGACCATGGTACTGATAGAATTTTGATTGTTGGTGCAGTTGGATTGAGTGAACATCTTAATGTGTTTCCATTAGTCTTAATTCCATCTCCTTTTCAGTGCCACATGGAAGAAATTTACTTTTCCTATAAAGTCGGAAAGGAGCCTCAAAAATCTTGTTTTCATTGGGAAGTAACAGAGGGATCGGCCAAATGCTAAGTATGCTTGGCTTTGAAAGTATCTCTCAGGTTTATAGTTCTAGGATACACATTCTGAAGATTAAGTTGCACTATACAGAGATGAACAGATTTCCACCTAATCTGCTTACTTTTATATGGTAGGCATTTTAGCAGTTTCTTTGGAATTGTCAGAAATAGAATAAGGTAATTCCTGACTTCCTAAAAACTAGACATGTATTAATTCAGCCCTGTAAACAAGGTCTGTTATGACCAAACCACCAGCCACCTGTCTCATTTACCATTGCCTTTTCTTCAAAACCATCAGGAAGATTTAGCTCTATGTCTTTGCTCATGCTGGGACTTCTGGAAAGGATAGTCCTTTCTCTTTCTTGGGTTTTAAAGTCCATGCTTCAAGGTCATTATTTTGTAAAACTCCTCTTGCACCTGGCATCTGCCTGACAGAAATTTCGACTCTTCTCAATGTTTATGATTATATTAGAGCATTTGTGTTATATTTTAATTTGTCTATGAGCTTGCTTCTCCACTCTTACTCCCCACTAAAACTATACTTTTATAGTCTTCTAGGTAGAGGTTATGTCTTCTTCATCCATCCTACTCCTAGAATACAGAAGCTCTCCATGAACATTCCAGATAAAACACCATATACTTCCGGGATGTTTAAAAGAAATTTGGCTCTCCAATATGTATCAGCCACTTCATTTGGTTGCCTTACTAGCTTGTGATAATGAAGCCAAAGAGTTTGAGGAGGGAATAGAATATTTGGATCTGAAGCAGGAGTGGCTTAAATTATGTATTAGTTGACTTGACAATTACTTATAACTATCTAATATTTGCCAGATGCTGTTGGGGATACGATGGTTGATAAGACCGAAAGGGTTTCTGTCTTCTTAGAACTAATATTCTTTTTTTTTTTTTATTTTTTTTTTATTTATTTCTAGGAGAGAGAGAGAGAGACAGACAGACACATCGTGAGCAGGGGAGGGTCAGAGAGAGAGGGAGACACAGAATCTGAAACAGGCTCCAGGCTCTGAGCTGGCTGTCAGCACAGAGCCCAACGCGGGGCTCTAACCCACGAACCACAAGATCATGACCTAAGCGAAAGTCGGACGCTTAACCGACTAAGCCACCCAGGCGCCCCTTAGAGCTAATATTCTAATGCAAGAAAATAAATGATAAGACAACTAATGTTAGGTAGTGATCAGTGCTATAAAGGAAATAAGCCGGGGTAATGTGATAGAGGTGACTGAGGGGCTGGAGTGGGGCAGTAGAGTTGTATCAGGTCGGGTAGTGAGAAAAGGCTTCTTTGATCGCCTGAACCTTGTGTTAAGTGCTTGCCAAGATGAGGCACAAAGGAATTTTGTTCAAAGCTGGGATTGTTATCCGGGCTCCCTGACTCCAAAGTCCAGAGATCTTTGCAGAGCTCTGCCATGAAGTTTAATTATTGATCATATGCTAGTGGAAAAATCCCCTTTAAAACAGGTATCTACCCTACGGGGGAAATGGTAAGCAGCCTGGAGCTGAGCTTGGAGTTCTCTAATTAAAGGGCAGATCTTAGAGTTTCAAGTTCATTATCCTCAACTCAGGATGCTAATCCTATCTTGGAGACAGTGTGGAACTCCGCAGTGCAGAATTATTACCAGGTATTCTTATGCTGGTTTCAGGAATAATGATGTTTAAAATAAGAAAACTCCATCATCAAATGTCAAAAGCTATGTCAGTGCAGTTGTTGAGAATTTGCTAAGATCAATTTGGGTAGCTGGCATGAAAATTGCTGTGTCCTTGGTATTTCTGAGCACATGTTATGTTAACAGCACACTGGGGTAATTCCCATTGTCATCTTCATTATTTGCTCAGTTATTTTGGCTCCTCTGGCTGGACATTGTGTAATAGTGACAAAAAAAAAAAAAGAGGTCAGTCAATGCACCTGAAATGGATTTAAAGAAAAAAAAAAATATATATATATATCAATAGATATCTTGCCTAATGATCAAGAGATCAATTACCTTCAGGAATTTCCCTCTGCCGCATTTATTTCACTACTGCTTATTTTCTTTTTTTGTGGGGATTTTTAATTTAATTTTGGGTCATTGAATTATATGTGTCATATTTATAGACCATATTTTGTGGGGCCATATTGATGATATCAAGTTCCTAATGTTATTTAACTAATTGAACTCTTAAGATAAATAATCCACAAGGCTGAATTTCTCAATGGCTTAAACCACATGCAGGAAATGTTCTATAAAGCTTTCCTATCAAGCTTTGCTGGCTTGCAGGGAAAGGGTGACCCTCGGCCCACATTTTCTGTCTGCCCCAGCTGGACCTCTGATGTTTTGGCATAAAGACTTTACTCTGATGCAATCCCAGACAAAAGGGTTTCCAATCAGGAAAGAGTGATGCAATTTGACCAAATTGGACTTCTAAACTGCTTCTCTCTTTGATCTCACTTATAATTGAGTTAGGATATTGCCAAATTTAGCCACTTGCTCTGCTGCCCCTCCCTGAATCAGAATTCCCTCCATTCCTTTTGCAGTTCTACAGTAATAACAGGCTCCAAAGCCCACATTTCCAGCTACCGCCCTGAGTTAAACCAATCCAGGACTTTAGCTGCAGTCTTTCACCCTGTTTCAAGTTATTGGTCTACAATTTTGTTTCTCCTTGGGAACCTAACTTATTTTTTCTTAATATTTATTCATTTTTGAGAGACAGAGTGCGAGTGGGGGAGGGGCAGAGAGAGAGAAGGAGTCACAGAATCTGAAGCAGACTCTGAGCTGTCAGCACAGAGTCCAATGCGGGGCTCGAACTCACGAACTGTGAGATCATGACCTGAGTCGAAGCTGGATGCTTAATCCACTGAGCCACCCAGGTGCTCCATATCTTATTCTTTTTTATCTTCATCAGTTGGGGCCTTGCTATCCACTGAGTCTTCTAGCCCAACACCAGCTTCTTGGATTTCCAAGTATTCCCTGCCACAGAACCTGTCTCTTCTCTGCCAAATTGCCGAGACTTCTTGATAATTTTGGGAACCGTGTAATGACCGTTTCTCTAAATTACAAACTATTAGAAGAATAATTTATCTATATGATAATAAACCAGAGACATATAACTGAATTAATCTGCAGACCTGCTTTGTTTGACTACTATAGTGTATTAAAATTAGTGTGTTTGGGTTTAGCTTCTGGCCTCAGAGAAGTGATTGATACTGGGGTTAGCTTCCTCTCATAATATTTACAATGATGGTTTTTCTAAGGTGGATAAGTGGTAGTTGATCTGTGTGTGATCTGTGGGAGAAAGGACACCACAGAGTTGAGTCCCGCCATCACCCTAGTGTTTTGCCTAAAGGCACTTTTAGACTGTGACATAGAAAGGGAAAAAACAAAAAGAAGTACAGTCATCACAGTGAGCTAAGGAGACAGAAATCAGAGTTCAGAACTACTGACCTGGGTTGAATTTATAGGCCTGGGCAAAGAGGGAAGAAAACTGTGTAGAAAAAGAGCTCTATAAATCTGCAAGGGGTGACCTCAAGTCTTTGGAAAAATACAAAGTTTTGCATCGGTCGATGACACTTCACAAGATCAGGCAAAGAACAGTTACTAGTGACAGAAAAAGTACCATGAAGGGCACAGCAGCAGAAAACTGGGAATTTAACAACTCTAGATGCACATGCAGGACTGCGGGCACTTGAGTTAAGACTCGTGTGAAGAAACTTTGGGTAGCTCCCCATGTGTTAAACAGAGACCCCAGACAGTCTAGATAAATCCAATCTGCCCTTAGAGAAAAGGGCGGATTGGATCTATTTATTTTTTATTTATCTATTTTTTTTTCAGATTTATCTATGTTTTCAGATGTAAAGTCCTGCAAAGATAAGCAGGACTCTTAAAAAACAAACAAACAAACAAACAAAACAAAACCAAAACAAAACAAAAAATCCAAGCTGTTAGACAAGTAAATTAAGTACCTGTGAGAACCGGACAACACTCATTTTAAAAACTCAGACATTCAATGATGCAGCATATGTAATGTCCAGCATATAATTAAAAAACAAAACAAAAAGCAAAAGAAAAGACCCATAATGAGAAGAAAAATCAGCCAAAAAAGGAAACAGACTCAGAATTGACAAATATGATGGAATTAGCAAATAAGCACTTAAAATGAGTATTATCAATATTCCTGTTGAATTAAAAAAAACATGACAAAACAGACGAACATTGGGGTAAAGGAGGAGAAATAAAATAAGAGAAAAACAAACAAGGAGACAAACCATAAGAGACTCTTCAATACAGAGAACAATTGAGGGTAGCTGGATAGGAGGTGGGTGGAGCGATGGGCTAAATGGATGATGGGCATTAAGGAGGGCACTTGAGGAGCACTGGGTGTTGTATCTAACTGATGAATCACTGAATTCTACTCCTGAAACCAATACTACACTATATGCTAACTAACTTCAACTTAAATAACATCTTGGAAGAAAAAAAAAAAGAACAAATAAGAAAAATCAATAGGGATATTTTTATGGAGAGATGGAAATAAAAAAAAAAACAGAAAAATACAATTCTGAAACCTTAAATTCTGCCCATTAAATATCAAAAAAGAAATGATTGGTGGAATCTAGAAACTATCCAAATTGAAACTCACAAACAAAGCAAGGATGAAATTAAAATGAGAATCTCAGTCATCTATGGGACAACCCCAAATGATCTCTACCGAATTTAACAGGACTACCTGAAAAGGAAAGGATGAATAAATGAAATGTTAACACATGAAAGACACTAAGGGGCCCTTGACTAAAGTAGCTTGATTGGTTTTGTTTTATCTAGCCTTTAATGATACTTTATGTACTAAAAGTTTGACCTTTGTCAAATAACATCTGTGAAAATTTTGTGGAAATAATAAGTAGACTTAACATTTGTTGAGCATTGAATATATATGTGTAAAAGGCCAGTAATTGTGCTGAGTACTTTAAAACATCTTTATGAGACAGTGGTATCATCTGCCTAGTTTAAATATAAAGAAACTGAAGGTCAGAGAGGTTAAGTGATTTTTCAAGGTCATAGAGTTAGGATGCATGGAAATGAGGATTCCAACACAGGCTCTCTGAATCTAGAGTACAAATATTGAATCGCGGTACTCTAATGAGTCCCAGTAGTGTTCTTAGGAATGAACTTCGGGAAACTGTCTTACATTATTTGGTTGAATATTGTTGTTTTACACTGCCTTCAGAGGCTCAGAAGCAATTAACTATCCAGAACCAATCCACTAAGACTTCCTAAGTGCCATATACATACACTCCAGGACTTTGCTTTTTACTTTCTAGATTGTAATGAAATGTTAAGGTGAAATTTGTTTTGGCATCAGCTTTAAAAAAAGGTTTAAATCCCTTTGCAAAGTGTAAGAATTATGCATTAACTTCCTTTTTTTCCTTTTGGTATTCATATTATAGGCTCTATCTGAGACTAAGATCCACGATGATTCTCAATGACATGACTGCACATGTGATGAATCATCATGATCTTTCTCTAGATCACTGAAAAATATTCTTAAAGGGATTAATTGTCTGAGGTTCTGTGTTAGGTGAGAGACCCAAAGATAATTTTAGACACACTCTATTTCAGTAGCAATAGCTCACACAAGAGAGTGTTATCATTTTTATTTATTGTAGAGGAAGTTAGTGATATCAACATAGAAATCCTTTTACATTTTTTAAGTCATTGTTTAAATAATTTTCATTTTAGCAGTTGTGGCTGGTGGCATATTATAAACCTGCTTGAATACTGTTACATAGTATTTAAAATGATCATTTTAAGATTACATTTTTAAGAAGATATGTTTTATATCTTACTTAAGTACTGAATATAATTAGATGGTTGCTATTTATAATGTTTCATTATTATAGATAATGCTTCTAAGAATAGCAATGGGTACATAATTCTCTTTCTGTTATTTGTTCAGGAAAAATTCCAAAAGTATTAAGTCATATGATATGGTCATTTTCATGACCCTCGAACTCTGTCATCAATGATTTCTAAAAGGGTCTTTACAATTCACCAACAATATGTGACTCTACCAGTTTTATTATATCTTTGGTAGCTTGAAACATTTTCTTTATTTTTCATTTTTCATGACTGTAGTGATATAAAATTATGCATTTTCACAATCATGTGGATGTTTTAAGCCACACTTGGGCACTAAGTTACTAATAGTGTAAGAAATAATATTTTATGTATCTTCACATAGATGGAAATTTTCCTTCACGATTTTTCAATTCATCTTTGACTCCTTACTATATGCCAGATGTGCTAGGCGCTGGAGCACTGCCTTCTCAATTTTTCTCTTTTTCCTTACTCGCCATAATGTTACATCTGGAGTTCACGGACTCATCTGCTGAGCGCATCCATTACCTTTCTGTTTCACCTTGGCTGGTTTGTCAACCTCCCCTTTGGCATTTCTAGCATGACACACGTAGTTGCGCTTGAGATCCTCAGCAGTAACTTTTTTGATGCTCAAAATTTGAGTTCTTGTTTCATCTTCAGTTGTAGACAAACTTACACTAGAAATAGAAAGAAAAGCAAAGCATGATTGGGCCTGCAGGGCCATGTGCCGTGTGTGAATCAAACAAGTAGACAAGCACAGACCCACTAGGTGACGGCAGACAGAATGCCTACAGGCTGTGGTGCCTGTGATCCCAAGTTACAAAGGGAGAATAACTTCTAGATTCTAGTGTCATTCTTTTTTTTTAAGTTTATTTATTTATTTTGAGAAAGAAGGAGAAGGGAGAGCGTGCATATGAGTGGGAGAGAGGCAGAGCAAGAGAGGGGGAGAGAGAGAATCTAAGCACGGAGCCCAACACACAAACCGTGAGGTCATGACCTGAGTCCCAACCAAGAGTTGGAGGCTTACCTGCCTGAGCCATGCAGGCTTCCCTCCAATACCATTCTTTACATTCTACACCACACACAATCCCAGTATCTATATCAAACCTCATTGTTGGCAACATACTATAGATATCTCTTCAAAGCAAAAGGTCTCCTTCCTGCAAACTTCTGAGACAGATTCTGTATCAGAGTAGAGAGGAGCTTCTAAGGCCAGATCCATTTGGATTGTGATACAAACTTTGCCACTTACTGGCTATATACTTTGGGCACAGTAAGTAATCTTTCCAAACCTTGCATTCCTTCTTTGAAAGAGAGGTAAACAGCAATGCCTACACAGTGCATTACATGTATTAACTTAGTCAAGAACTGTGAGGCTTGACTATGTCAATGCCTAAGTATCAGAACAACGCTTAATAAACATTCACACAGGCTATTATTACCATCCATAGCAATAGTTCATGCACTTCAGGGATCCCCAAGGCTTGAGTTTTGAACACAGGTAGAATATTCCAGTCAAAATGCTGAAACCCCATGGGTTCAATCCTAACATAGTACAAGAAGAAACTTCTCAAAGCAAGTCAGGTTGTGAAAAATAAATACCTCTAAATCTCCATGTCAGAGATCAAGTGCTTTGGGTCCGAGATCAAGATCTAAAATCCCTTGGAACTACTTGCTATGAAGAGAAAACAAAATCTCTTCCTAGAGCTGACATCCAGGTTCTCCTTCCAATGGGCTCACCATCAGTCATGAGAACTTGGTCAAGGCTTATGAAGGGTTTAGCCTCCACTGAACTGCACTGCTCCACCATGAACACTGAACTATGTTGCAGTAGCAGCAAGGAGGAACAGCATGACTTTCATTATCATTCATTCATCATTATTATGAGGATAGAAAGCACAATGTTCAGAATTCCAGAAATGATCAGGAATTCTCCCTTTGTGCCTCCAGCTACATCTTTAATCAGTTCCTTCTGAAAAAAAACTGCTCTAATTTCAGAAGGAGGCTCCTTCTGTACCCGTAAAGATGCTCTGCTTCTCTAACGTCCAGCCACTGCACATGACGTTCCTTTTACCAGTAACATTCTTTCTATTTCTCTACCTCATTTATTTCTACTCATCCTTCAAATCCTTATGTAGGTACTATACCATCTGAGAAGCGCTGCCTACTCCTCTACAACAGACTGAAATCCTCAAAGCTTCTGATAACCTCTAAGACTTTCCAGTCACTGCATTTATCACAATATATTGAAATTTCTGCTCTAGCACTCTTACTCTGAAAAAAATCTACTCAGTTAGGGACTAAGGATCTTGCATAGCACCTGCTGTAATGTAGACATTTTATAACTTCTGTGCAAAGTCTGAGTTTACTATCAGGAAGGACATATCTTTTGATTTCTAGACATTCAAGTAGCCAAAGATCTATTTGCATATCACGTTAAGACCTAAAGGTTTTAGAACTACTTTGTCATGTACTTGGTCAGCGGCTGATTTTTTTTTTTATTATTGTCCTGAACCAACTGTTGTCTTGTAATTGTCTCCTTCATTTCTGGAAGAATCTTTTGTCTTCAAAGACCCATAGTTTCCTCCTTGCCAACCCAAGCCCCTTCAAAAAAAAGTTGCCTTTATTTAGAATTAAAATGGGGGCACCAGGGTGACTTAGTCAGTTAAGTGTCTGACTTTGGCTCAGGTCATGATCCTGTGGTTCATGAGCTCGAGCTCTGCATCGGGCTCTCTGCCATCAGCGTAGAGCTGTCTCCCTCTCTCTTTGCCCCTCCTGCACTTGGGCTCTCTCTCTAAAAAATACACATTTAAAAAATAAATAAATAAAATGACTCAGCTTGTTAAAATAAAGTTTAAAGAATGTGAATGTATTCAGGCAATATTAAAAAAATAATTATCTATTACAAGTGCGACATGCATGTTACATGAGTTACGAATGAGGAGGAAGAAGATAGGAAATATATGCTTATTGTAAGACAAGAAACACACATGTAGCTGAGGCACAAATATAGAGGCCTATATTCCAGACTTGAGAAAGGAAAGAATAGGGCCACATTAACCAGCTCTCATGGATCCAGAGCCCTATACTGTAGCTTTTCATGCATGCGGGCTATGCATCCCATCTACTTCGAAGGGAGAATCACGAATGTGCGAGTATCAGAAGATATCTGGATCTTGAATAGCAAGTCCAGGAATCCCGCTTTGGAATGCAGCCCTTAAAGACTTGAAAATCTTGCTGATTTTCGGTAATGACGGGCAAAAGTCAGAGTTGTTACTTTCAATGATTAGTATACACCAGAAGGCATTAGACTGAGGGACAAGTGTTGGTCACCCCTGGTCTGAGCCAACAGTACCTTTCATTAACAGTCACATCAATATTGGTGTCGTCTGGCTTCTTTCCATCAATGGTCCACCAAACCTCATTGCGGGCATCCATCAGGAAAGTAAAATAGACTGTACAGGGAATGAGCAGCTCCTCACCTAAAAGAACAAGTTACCCCATCAGGGTGTACCCTTCACATGGCTATACTGGCTCTGCTCTGCGATTAATCAGAAGCTATAAAAGTGTACTTAAAATTCTATTTCTAAGTAATTTCCAAGTGGCCTATCACAGAAACGTACCATACTTCATTACAAAATAAACCAAGAAAAGAGGTTCGGCAGCTTTATACAAAATTTCCAGAATGACCATCTTTTTATACAATCCATGTATGTTGTACTATGACAGCGTTTGTTCAAAGAGGCTCTGACAACATACTTTGTAGCCCTAAACTTCCATGGAAGACTCTTATCCTTGATTTCCCTCATAAACAGTGACTGAGGAGAGATTCTACAGATCGTTGGAGCTTGGCCCAAAGAAAATAAAGGGCAATGCCAATGCGGAGGGGCAGCTCAGATCAGGCTATCAGGGTGTAGTCAATAAGTTTAAATACCATTTACATATATATATTTATATATAATGAATATTTATAAGTATTAGTATTTTTGAAAAACATTCTCTGCTATCATTAGGAGATAGAACACGAGGTCAGGGGATCCCTAGGAAGAAAATAATAATAATGAGACAAAGACTGGCAGCCTACTTACTAAGAACTTTATATAACTCACTGTGTTAAATATTTATACTTACTAGTGGTCTCATTTAATTTTAACAAGGTACTGTGGGGTCTTTTTAAAATTCACGTTTTATAGACACGCAAACTAATGCGTACAGATGTTAAATGCCATTCCTCGATGAAACTGTTAATAAGCAGCCGACCAGAATTTGACCCGGAATGACTTCCATTCCAGTTTGCCCAGGACAGCCCTATTCTATGCTTGCTTTCCTAGTTATTTATTGACATCAGCTGCTTTCGCTCTCAGACACTGTGCAGGCTGAGATGACAAATGATATTGTCATCCAAATTTGAACTCAGGTTTGTCTCACTGAGTGGTCTTGCTCTATCCCCTCATCTAGTGCATGGTTCTTATGCGTTTCCCTTCAGTTTCTATATTAATATGCAGGAAGGTAACGCGAACATAGATTTTGGAACCATATGATAAGTGGAGGTAGAGAAAACAGACTAGGTCATTTGTAAGGGTTTACCGGATAGCAGGAAGAATGCTCATATTACTATACAATGTCACTGTGAACTCTAGGAAATGTGGTCTGTTTGGGGTTGGCGGCCCTCTTAGTGTGTTCTTTCTTTCTTTCTTTTTTTTTTTTATAGGCAGCTCACTACTTGAAACCTTATCGTAATTTTAGGAGGGCATCACTGTCCACTACCTACATTTGATCACAACCTCTGTTATCTTTAGCACATTTTAAAAATACGTTCTTTTATACCTTTCACTGGGTTTGGAGTGAATTTATTGTAAAGGATACAATATAGAAAATCAGAAGATTTTCTATAGTTTTCAGTTTAACTGTGGGAGGCTTTGCGCCAGAAGAATAACAAATTATGCCTTATTCTGTTGGTCACAGAAGATTTTTGTCCAGAATGGAAAATTATGAAAACTAAAAGCAGCCCCAGACAGCCCCAGGAACAGGAAACACCCGAGAGTGTTCTGATCAAGCTGTTACCAGGTCTACCAGTTGTTTACCAGTAAATTCACAGTCTTGCCTCCGAGCCCCTGCCTCTGCCCCTCTGCAGGGGAGCAGAAGCTTAGAGGAAGTCTTATGCTCCTGTTGAAGTCTTGGCAAACCCAAGGCCTGTGCAAGCTAAAGTGTGCGCCACACAGAAATCACTAATCAGGAGAGGGGAGCCATTGCAGGGAAGAAGGGAGCAGCTGCAGAGAGAGAGAAGCTGAGAATCCCAGAGACGCCCAAGAGATGGAAGGAGGGGTGAATCCCCAGAGCTGCCTTCGTTTCTGATAACATTTCAGTTTCACTCCATGTTGTTTCCTTACAATAACCCTCTATTCTCATGCTTTAACTTAAGTGACATTTTATTCCTTGTAATTAAGGGAATCTAACTGAAATTAAGAGGCACAGCTATAATTACCCGGTTCTTTCTCGTAGACTACAAGATCATTGGGTGAATAGATCTGAGGAGGCAATGCGTCATTTGGAGAGCCTGTGTTCGAGAAGAAGAGACAAAAGGGAGATGATGTTAAATCGTGTAGCCCTTAACTCTCATAACCCATTTCCAAGACCTGGTCTTGTGTAAACTTTTGCCCAACTTCTTGGCATCATTTGTCAACTCTTCCTGACAGGGCCCACAGCTCAATATACAGTATATTGCAACACTTCATTCATTTAAAACGAGCAAAGAGACAAACATAAAATACTACGTAGCCTCCATGTTTTAGGACAGAAGATTTAACCAGTGTTTTTTTCTATTTAAAGCTTCCATGAAATGTACTTCTCATACCATAAAATAAGTTGCTTTCATGTCTTACCTCACTTGTTTCTTTCCTACATGTTTCTTTAGAACATGCCCAGAGTGGCTAGTATGAGACTTGGCTAAATAAGCAAATGTTAAGTAAACAAATATGTAAATGGAAAATTCAAAATCACAATTATGAAGACAGCACACAAGTCTACCTGATGTCTATATCAGTTGACTGTTCATTCCTAGGATCACTGTTCTTTAAAATATTCTATGTTTCTTAAGTGTCCATCAACAGATGAATGGATCAAGAAGACATGGTTTATCTATACCATGGAATACTACATGGCAATGAGAAACAATGAAATCTGGCCATGTGTAGCAACATGGATGGACCTTGAGGGTGTTATGCTGAGCGAAATAAGTCAGGCAGAGAAGGACAAATATCATATGTTTGCACGTATAGGAGGATTAGGAGGAACTTGATGGAGGAACAAGGGGGAGAAGAAGGGCGGAAATGGTGGGGGAAAGGGAGAGAGGCAAACCATGAGATTCTTGAATGCTGACAAAAACTGAGGACTGATGGATGTGGGGGGGGAGGGGGGATGGGCATGGAGGAGGACACTTGTGGGGATGAGCACTGAGTGTTATGTGGAAACTAATTTGACGATAAACTATTTGTAAAAAAAAATAAATAAAAATAAATAAATAAATAAATAAAATATTCTATGTTTCTGAATTGAAAGAAAAACACCCCCAAGGGTTTGTATAGTGTAGTGTTTAAGAGCAAATGCCTCGAAGATTTAACAACCAGGGTTCTTAACCTTAGTTGGTCATACACTAACCATATGACTCTGGATTTTTACTTAATCTTTGAAAAGCTAATTTTCCTCACCTCTAAAATGAGGATAATTAAACTCACTGCACAGGTTCATTATAAGGATTAAATTAAATCATGCATATTAAAGCATCCTACTGGTATATAATAAGTACTCAATACTTCACAGCTTTAAAAAACAAACTTGTGTTTTGCTTGAGAGTTAGATAAGAACCCTACTTCACATCAGCATCTGTCAACTTCTCTACTCATAAATAAAGGTGACCAAGCATGCCTATCCTCAACTTTCCAAAACGGGATCCATTTAAGAACCTATATCAGACATGATTGCCAAGATGAATTTAAGATTAGATTATTCATTTGGCTTTTAAAGTCCATTCATGTTAAATTCTCTTTTTTTTTTTTTAACGTTTATTTACTTATTTTGAGAAAGCACAAGAGAACACGAGCATGGGAGGGGCAGAACGAGAAGGAGAGACAGAATCCAAGCAGGCTCCGCATTGTCAGCACAGAACCCAATACAGGGCTCGAACTCACGAACAGTGAGATCATTACCTGAGCCGAAATCAAGGGTCAGACACTCAGTCAACTGAGCCACTCCGATACCCCCATTCATGTTAAATTCTGAATTTAATATGATTTTTTCTTCTGAATTAGTTCCCATCTCAACATTATTCCAAAAGTACGCAGAGGAAGAGGAGAGGTGATTACAAAACTTTTCAATTTGAATCCTATTTGCAGTATTACGTTAAAGCCCTTAAAAATTATGCCCAAATTATGTCAAACTAGTTGAGAAGGCTCTGAACCAAGAATATGAAACCTGGGGTTGGGAACCACTTCTTCCACTAACTCACAGAGCATCTCTAAAGAGATTACTTTGTTGTTGTTGTTGTTGTTTTAAATGTTTATGTATTTATTTTGAGAAAAAAAAAAGGGCAGAGGGGAGCAGGGGAGGGGCAGAGAGAGAGAAGGGGAGAGAATCCTAAGCAGGCTCCACGCTCAGTGGTCAGCACGGAGCCTGACACAGCGCTTGATCTCACCACCTTGAGATCACGATCTGAGCGGATATCAAGGGTGGGACACTTAACCCAGGTGCCTCATAAACAAGTCACTTTGTGTCATTGGGTCTCCACATTTCTATCTATGAAAAGATGGGGTATGAAACATTTTCACTCTGATACGTTCTCATTTTTAATACCATGGGCATAGGGTATTCAGGGCTCTCCCCTGATTGCCACCTATCCTGACTCTGGTTCTCTTGATTTCTCTGTTTGATGGGAGTCTTTGGACAATGCCTGGACATTGTCTTTTCTACTTTCCTAATTTCCCACCACCCGTTCTCTCAGGGCAAAGCAATGGTTGAACCCTGCCAGCAAGCAGCTCTAATTACAGCAGTTCCAGTTCATAGAAAAGACAGAGCTTATTTAATTCAAACACAACACTTTTTTGACAATAATATTAACTGCTATTCATTGAGTTTCCACCGTTCGCCTGGAATTGGATTAACATTATATATATACATATACGTATATATATATATATATATATAATTTCTAATATTCCCAACTATAGTGAATGCAAGGTTCTCTTAGTCCCAGACAGCAGATAAGGAGACTGAGACCCTGATCAAAGGTATTTTGCTAACAAATGGCAAGGGTGCAAGTCGAACACAGATTCACTCGGCACTGTTTTCACTCCTCATTCAGTCACATCGACCAATGATTCATGCAAGACACCGATAGGTATTGAATGGCTACTCTGTATGTGGAATTACTGTGGCTCCAGCACAGTGAACAAAAAAAGATAAACCTCTTTTCTCATAGACTCTACTTACTTGTTTGAAATAAACTATCAAGAGCCAAAACAAAATGATTGCATTCTTTCAGTGTGCACTTAATATAAAACCATGCTTACCTACCACCTTCACGGTCAGAGTCCTAGTGAGATGGAAGGTACGCCCGTTTTCTGGATATGTAACCACACATGTGTAATCGCCATTGTTTGAAACCAAGGCTATGAGAAAGCTCAAGTTCATACCTTCAGGTACTACGTTATTAAAGTTCTGTATTTTATGGCAGCCCTAGAAGAAGGAAAAGAAAAGCCGTTCAGTATTGAGATGCATGCATGGAAATATACAAGTGCACGTATGTACACACTCATCTAATTTTGCACAGAAGATACAACTCTCCATGCTGGGTGCATCTTTTACAAACTATTTTGGTCAAGTATTTGATGATATCTCTGTAAAGAATGAAGGTAACATTTCATTATATTTTCTGCAAAATGAAAACAGGAATTCTAAACTGAGATGTGAATTCAAAAGCATGGTCTTCCAGTCTCAGGATCCAGTATTTGAAGTTTGAAAATCACACATTAGTAGCTAACTAAGGTTAAAGTTTTGAAAAACAACTAAGGCAACTTAAGAAAATGCATCTGCTGCTATTTAAGAAACAGTTATTTTTCAGATCTCCATTTATTCACTGATTATATTAAGAATCCAGCCACTCTGATAATTCAGACTTAGTTTAGGTGGCTGGTTTTTGGCAATCTTATATATGTGTCTTACATATGTGTGTGTGTGTGTGTGTGTGTGCGCGCGCGTATACACTTTTTTTTTGAAAGAGAGAGAATCCCAAGCAGACTCCATGCTCAGAGCAGAGCCCAATGCAGGGCTCGATCCCATGACAATGGTGATATCCTGAACTGAGCTGAAATCAAAAGTTGGATGCTTAATCAACCAAGCCACCCAGGTGCCTCTGTGGTTTTAGCATTCTTGATCACTGTGTTGAATCACTCTATCAGTCGCTTCCAAACTTTTTTCTGTTTTCTTTCTACTTATTTTCCTCATTTGATTTTTTTACAATACAATATTACAGACTTCAGAATCTAAAACCAAAAGATATTTTATGAGTCTGACCAAGAGCGAAGCTTATTTCTACTCCAACTTATATTTTCATACACTTCTGTTGATTTTTAAAATTCTGACATAGAAATAGCTCATTCAACATAACTGAAATCTTGTTTTGGCTCTCTGATTCCCACTAATTGGCTTAAATTGTTTTATTTTACTTTATTTTTTTAAAGAAAAAATATGGGGGCACCTGAGTGACTCAATCAGTTAAGCGTCAAATTTCAGATCAGTTCATGATCCCATGGCTTATGAGTTCAAGCTCCATGTCGGGCTCTGTATTGACACCTCAGACCTTGGAGCCTGCCTGGGATGCTGTGTCTCTACTCATACTCTCTCTCTCTCTCTCACTCCCTCCCTCTCTCTCAAAAATAAATAAAAATTTAAAAAAATAACTAAAGAAAATAATACAGCATCTGTGACAAAATTATTTGTTGAACACTTACTTTTTGAAAAACGTTGCTTTCTTTTAAAAAATCAATAATTTGTGACAAATGGACTGGGTTGTATCTACGGTTTTTCAGTTCTTGAAAATTCTGGGAAGCTATTATTGGCTTATAGCTTAGATTTACTGTATTCACATATTTAGCTTTGATTCTTGAATACTTAAGGTTTTCTTAACAATTCCTGGAGCTTATGTTTTGAAATATGAGTTACACTAAACGGCATATTTTGCAAGTCATTGTCACAGGAACTAGGTCTTTTAAGAATATCACTAAGCTTTTGATTCATGGAAATGATCATCAAGAGGAAGCTGTTAGATGCTTGGTTATTTTCTGAATGCGATTTATCCTGTTTTGATAAACAGTGTTTCTAGATGCTTGTCACATCAACAAGATATTTCAATGCTCTTAGGTTATCACAAAGCATAAGGCCACAGAGACCTGTATTCTTATAATGAATTTATGTCACATTTGGTTTAAATTGAGTTTAGACTATCTATAGAACTCTATTTGATTTTTGTGGTGCCTTTCGTTTAAACAGCTCAAAGCTATTTTCTTCTCTCATTTGTTAGCTTAGCTGTTCTTAAATCCACATGAAGTAGACAGATCAGACTGAATATGCTCTAGTTTTACAGGTGGAAAAATAAATAAGACAGACAGATAAAGAGGTATTCTAGATACTACAGAGCAACGCCAAAACTCAGTTTTCCAGACAGAAGAACAAAGGTTTTTCACTAGCTTCTTAACTAAGAATGAACACCTCTCCTTGGGAGTTAGTTGAGGCTGGAAAAACACACTGAGACATGTATTGACATGTACTCTATTATCTCATTTAATTCAAGTTTGGAAATACTCTTATGCCCATTTTCTAGATGAGGATATAAAGAAAGGCCTGGAAAGGTCAAGTGATTGCCAATGTCATAGAGCTAGGTAGTGTCAGAGCTAAAATTTAAATCTAGATCTACCTGCTTTGAGGCCTTTGCTTTGAACCCCAACTGACTCTGTCTCTCTACCATGGTTCTAAACATATGCCACACCTGGGCCGGTCCCAGTGTTAACAGTGTGCTATAGTTCTATCTCTTAAATGAGATTGATTCCCACAAATAGCAAGAAACTGTAAAGGTACACTGTTCAGGATAAGAAGTTAACAATTATTGGGCACCTGGGTGGCTAGGTCAGTTAAACTTCCAACTTCAGCTCATGTCATTCAGGTCATGATCTCATGGTTCACAGGTTCAGGCCCCATATTAGGCTCTGTGCTGACAGCTCAGAGCCTGAAGCCTGCTTCAAATTCTGTGTCTCTTTCTCTCTCTACCCCTTCCCCACTCACACTCTGTCTCTCTCAAAAACTAAATAAACATTTAAAAAATTTTTTTACAAAAAGAAGCTAACAACTAGTACTGAACTGGTCAATAGCACTTCCAAAGAATGTACTAAAAGACACTTTTATTTTATTTTATTTTTGATTCGCCAGTATCATTTATGTAAAAACTATTTAAAAATACATTGTTTTAGGACTCATAGTATGTGCTACAAATACGAAGAAATGCTTCTGACTCAAAGTCTTTTCATTCATTCACTCATTGATTCATTCACCCTTGAACATTAATCATAAACCACATGCCAGCCATGGTGTGAGGTTCTGAGAATACAGTTATGAGTAAAACAAAGGATCAGCTCTTATGGACTTACCACGAACAGAGAAATGGAATCAGGCACATCTATATAGCAAGGAAACTGGCACAAAACAGGTATGTGTTGCTATCTTCCTAGCTCTCTCTTTTTCTTCATCTTATTCACACCCATGTACATGAACTTGAATTTCGGGATGGATATACTTAAGGGTATTCAATGGGTCTGTATGTCAATGGTATAAGTATGCTTTCTCATGACTTCTTTTCTTCTTTCCATAAAGGATAAAAATGTCGGTCAGGGACAGGTTTCGCTTAGAGTTTCTTTGTCGAGGAAAACATTTTGAATGAAGGAATATTCCATAAAAATTAGTGGGAAAGTTTGGGGTCTAATCTACTATTCAGAAAGAGCCAACCATCCAAATATATTAAATGAGCTAGTTTAAACCAAAAGAAATAAAAAGCCACTTCAAAGTTCTTAGACCTATAGCATGTTAGAAAAGAAAATGAAAGAAATATTTTACATTCTAAATGTGCATGTGGATGATAGGGGTACGTTTGGGGCATTGTTGAATTACAAATAACCATTAACTTTAGCCTGCAGTGTGTGATCAACTCTCTCTATTGCTTATGTGAGGTTGCATCTCTGGTACCTTTGATACATGCACCTGAAACATGCAGGATATTTTCAAACCTAATAAACTATTCCTAAAAATAAATCCTATAGAGTTCAAAATCATTTATTTGGAATCCAGGAAAAAAAAATATATGAACAAGAATCTAAAGGCATCCAAAGAATAAAAGAAACATGTTGCCAAATACAATAAACGGTTAACGGTAAGCTGATTTCCACTGTGAAGCAAACACTTGTCTAACTAGAAAACAAGTCATCCACTTAGTTGACCAGTCAGTTCCTCATTTTGAGTTAAAAAGAGAGAAGTTAGACAGGAGAATATATAGTGGTGGCCATGGCAACTGACCACAATGTATAGGTAAAGAACAGCACAAGAAATGACTTCGAGATTTTGAGAGGAAATAAATCACATGCTGAAGTGCAGGGTGTGAATTGAAGGACGTCATGACTAAAAGGGGACAAATACGTCCATTCAACCAACCTACAGCTTTTAAAGAGCTGTATGAGGGCACGAGAATGGTGAAGATGCAGTTCCTAACCTCTAGGTATGCAGTCTAATGGAGAACCAGAACAAATATCGTAAAAAGAATATTGGGGCAGGGCAGTGGGGGGGAAGATTAAACAGAAAACATTAAAGAAAAACTTCATGGAGAAGGAAAATGTGGGCTGGATTCTTAAAGGGTTAAGTAGAATATTACCAGCTCTGTGGGAGAAGAGGAGATGTGAGAGATATCACTCCAGGGACAGGGAAAAGTGTGACCAAATCCCCTCCACTCCTACAGCATTTTGCCTTCTGTGTTAGTCATTCACTAGCGTAATTGTAGTGATATCTTTTCATGTGTATTTTTCCTCTACAAAATGTACTCTTAGGGGCAGGTAGTGAATGTGCATGGGCAGTAACTTGGCCAATGCTTAGCACCCAATAAATGTGAAATACATTTACACAATACATCTGTGTTGCATGGTCAAAAATAAGAATGAGAGAAGCAAGGTCAAGACGTGGAGTTGCAAGTTCAAGCAGCACGCAAATGAGAACAGAAGATGAATGCAAGGCATACGAGACATGGGATGGGTGAGCTATAGGGTGGGTGGGGAGCCTGCAAGTGAGGATACAAACAGTTTAACTGAGCTATAACTGGGTTAGAAATATCTACTGACATTTTTGCATCCAGGATTAAGTTGGTATGAAAGGCATCATACTTGTTCACAAAGTTTTATAAGAGTTCGATACTGGTGTCACTTCCAATGAACGGAACTATGTAATCCACTGTTTATTCAACAAATATTTATAAAATCCTTCCCATGTGACAGCTACTGTGTTAGGACATGGGCACACCCAGAGTGGACGGGAAAACAGAAACGGCCCTTATTCCCATGGAATTTTCCAGTCTGGTCTAATTCATTCAGGCATATAATTAATTCCTAAGTACGAAGTACACTGGTTCCGTTTTGTGCTGTGTGCAT